TTTTCTCTCAAGTGTCCAGAGGTGAGAGGCACTCACTACCTCTGCGTGGACAGTCTGCAACCTTCCCAGATCCTCATCAGCTTCTCTGTTCTGCTGCTCTGGGGGGATACAGCTGAGAAGAGTAAGGATTTACACACACACACTCAAACACAAAATGATTTTTTGCTATTATAATGTTCTGTTATGCACAAATCATCTCTACACCACAGTCCTATTCAGGATATACAGTATATGTAAATATTTATCAAAACTGTATGAATACTTTATGAATGTGAATTACTGTTGAGATATTTAACTGTGGTGTGTGACCAATACACATTTTCTGTCCCCTCTACAACACTGCTTAGAAAAGCAAATGTCATCTGCGCATAGTTCTGCAGTTCTCATTGCCCAGCCACACTCTTGGAAGAGTCTGCAAACTCAAATGCCTGTTCTCACCATCAAGACTACTTTCTCCAAGGCAGCCATGCTTAACTTACCTCCAGGGTAGGACAACATCGATGATCTATCCTGTATCAAGCAGATTTTATATGCAAACATGAAAGAGAATACTGAGAACTACAGAATGCACTGTACTGATCAGAACTTAAAGCTTAGATCAAGGGCACCGGGGCATCCCAAAGACACAACACTTCTTGCCACTTTTACACAAATTATGTTCAAAGACTCTGGATGGATATTTATGTTTATTAAGATCCCCTTTAGCTACTACCACAGTAATAGGTAGGGTAGGGTAGGTACTTTATTGATCCCACAGTGGGGAAGTTTCTGTGTTACAGCAGCAATAGAGAACAACCAACATACCACCATAAGAACAGACACACAAATAAAAAGTTACATAAAGGCAACAAAGCATCAGAACTGATACACACAAGTAGCATCATCAGAACGTTACATTTTACATTTTACAATACAGTATGTCCTGTATATAGCGTGCCATTTCAAACTTTCAGTATTTAATATGGTAGTACTTTTCATTCTTGTATCCTACAGTATGATATGTTCTTTTTTTATCTTGGTATTATCAAGCAGTGCTAATTAAATATTGTAGATTATATTTGAGTGACTAATCTTATCACGGTTTACTCATCAATTTGTGCCAATTGTTACAACATATGCATGTAAACAAAATGGTATCCTTTCACACATTCTCCCCACATTCTTCACACATGCATCCTGTGCTGGAACACAGGAATTTCCCCATTGTGGGATCAATAAAGTCCTACCTTCACCTGATAACCAAAAATTACCCTTTGCTCATCAGCATGGTAATAATTTTGCCAGTGTTAGAGTTTTAATTCTCACCATGAGAACCTGTCATAAAAATGTCTGCATTTTTTGTTCAGCCCTTTATTTTGTGCAGAGATCTACTTAACATTATCATAAAGAAAGCAGAGGATACCTGCCTACGTAAGATGGACTGAAAAGCAGTAAAGAGCATCTGCCCTAGTCTCTATTAATGGCCACTACTTGGCCTAGAAGCAGAGAGCCCAGTTTCTGGGGTCAGGTGCAGATGTGCAATCACTCCTGAGCCATAATCACACACACAGGACTCAACTTATAAAGCCCATATGCCTCCCTATTACACATTCCCCCATTTCCCCAATAATAGCTGATGTATCCATGCTCTTTTACCTTTTTATTATTATTTTCTGTGCAACACAGAACATAGGACATGAACAGGAACATGGTAGGGGCACTCACTTTTTAAACTCTTTCACTTTTCCTTTTTCTCTGTGTCCCTGCCAGACCATCTGTATTCTATTTTGGCAATGTGGTGTTTTATTTAATCTCTCTACTGATCCTGTGTGCTTTTTGCTAACACTCTGTCTTGTGCTAGCCATTTCATTTTAAAGCGGTTTTTGTCTTTCCTACTTGCAATATCCCTTTCTTGTCCTCTTTCTTTCCATTTGTCTCTGCTCCTTGTTTCTCTTCCAGTGCTCACCTTTTTTGTCTCTCTTCCATTTTTTTCCCTTTTGTATGTTGTCATCCTCCTCTACATCCCTAGCACAGCTTGTCCTTAGTGCTCATCCATATAGTTAGGCTGTGATGATTGAATTATGTAAAGCTAATAGGACCAAGGAAGTGGGGTTACACTCTGATGCCTGATCAGCCCCTGTGAACTCATCTTGGCATTTGGCAAATAGGATATTAAGCTAACTGTTCTGACCCACTCAGCATTACTTGACAGAAACATAGATCAACTGTTAACTATGAAGAGGTGTTATTCAGTGGAATGCATTGTAGTTTCATGTATTCTTTGTCTGATTGCATGGCTAGTATTATCCTGGCCATATAGGTGAGCACAGTGTGTGCACGACAACAGCGGTTTGAGTCCAGCTGCCAACGTTTATCACTGGTCCCCCCCACCCCCATTCTGCCTTCCCCATTTCCTGTCCACCTATGATATTCCTTTGCTTTGCTTATTTTGTTGTGATATTCTAGGTAGTTTGATCTACAACCTATATAAATAAAGTAAGAGGGCAACATCACTCTTAGGATGAACTGATAGCAACATACTGTATGTAGCCTGTGGCAAAGGGATGTGAATAGACTTTGTGTCTCTCTGGAGGATGTCAAGCCAAAAAGACTGGGAACCACAGTTTTAGGGTAATTACTAGTCTAACAGAAACCTGGATAATTTGTGCCTATTTTCAAAACTCCCATTGTCTTTTCTCTCTCCTTCAGGCGCCATGTGTTGTGCTTCCATGCAAAGGCAGCACTGGGCTACCACATCCATCTGTGCAGTGAGACACCTTTCATGTTCGGGGATGAAGAAACCATAATGTCGCAACTTACCAAGGTGACCTAGCTTTGTAGTTAGCAGTTGACTATGATAGTAATTCAGTTAGACCATGAATTACTTGTGAATATGAGAGCTAATTTTAGTTTGTTTGGAGTAACAAAGCAGAATTGTTTTTTTTCTGGATCTAATTTTCTAGATGAGAAGTCCACTACAAAGAAAGTATTGTCAAGGAAACACTACATAACATTTTGTGTCTAAATATGTACAGATCATTTAAGATATGGATACCCTTCCTTCATCATACCATGTCCCCTTTTCTGTCTATAGGTTCATGCATGTGAGAAAAAAATTACTTGATCGTGTCTGGCAACCACAGTCCAACATAGTATATGTTTGTTGCAAATTTTCTACAAACAATTTAGGTGTTTTTCAATTGACTGAAATGTGTTGGTACTCTGGGAATTCTGCTGTTTTGATCTATTTAACTTGCTTTCAGTTTAATTTGCACCAGTAAACAAAATTTAGATGCTTCCTCTCTGCTTTCCTCTTTTACAGGAAAGTGCTCGTTTCACTGAGCAAGCCTCGTCCATGTTGAAGGCCCTATCCAGAATGGTGACTTCCTTTAGTGAGGAGCAGGACCAGCTAGCAGCTAGAAGAGCCCTGGAAGAGGCTCATTGTCCCCGAGACATCAACACCTCCCTGGTGATGTTGGAACACCACAAGGTAGCTCGCTTATGCTGGTAAAGAGTTGTACTGTGGATATAGTCAATACCTTGTCTTACTTTATATCTTGATAAGTGACTGACAAGCAGGTAAATGCATATTTCATGCATGTTAGTATATTAACATAATAACATACACTCACCCATGTGTTTATTTTAATGAATGAATGATATGAATCTAGCAATCCCCCATGAGGTATGGTTTTAAGGGTCATGGATGATGTCTCATGTAAACATAGTCTATCATGCTTATATAATTACAGTGATTTAAATCACAAAAATTTTAAATGCAGTTAGACATGTTAGCTACTGCTAACATCTTTCCTCTATTTTGTGTGTGTGTGGGTGTGTGTGTGTAGGTGTTTAACTCTGCAGTTTACCACATGCTGTGTGAGGCTCTAGGCAGGAAGCTGACAGCAGAGGAGCGATTTGCTGTATTGGTCCTCACTGCTGACCCTTCACTCTTGAGCACTACCCATAATGAAGACACCCCTACATGTGCGTGGGTGCCATTTGTGTGATTGTAAATTTTGTATGATGTACATATAAATACAGTACTTTTGTGAATATATATGTACACCTACAAAAAGCATGTAATATTGAATATTTTAGCCTCATACCCTTTGTCAGTCACAACAGTAACTTGCATTAATATTAAACTACTTTTCTCTGTTGTTTAAAACTTGCCTTTTTATTTTATTTCCATGGGTATTTTACAGTTTTATAAATTTATTATTCACCCATAACACATTTTTTCTGTTGTTTTTCTGCTGTTAAGTAGTTGCCGAGTCAAAGCCTCCAGAAAACTGGAGGGGCAGGCAGCCGACAGATGAGGAGGTCAAGGCAGTCACCATTCTGCAGGCTGGATTCAAAGGACATTTGGTACGAGAGATTCTTAATGCCTCAAAACCTGGTAAGCATAACAATACACACAGAGAAAATGTATCCATTCAAGCATCATGGTTAGGTTTAAACCTTATTTGTAATCTGAATAGCTGAAATACTGACTTTTAATTGGATTCCGCTTTCTTCTTCTTTTGTGTTCGAAAAGACAGGCACAGCTGCAGCAGTTGGGAAGGCTAAAGGGACAGAAATTAGGTTTAAAAACAACTTAAGATCAATGCTTGTGTTACACTTGTAAATTATTATGTAGTATCTAAAAATGCACATGCACACACTAAACATATTATCTTCTTCCATTCATTATTTGATATATCCTGGCATATACAGTATTGAGCCTCTGAGAAGAGCCACAAATACTTGATTTATTAATGAGACTGCCACTCTTGCTGATACAGCCTGACAGAGGAGGGGTGGCCACAGACACATGCTTGCACACAACATTCCTGCATTAACCGCCAAATTGCCAAACTAGTGACAGCAAGTGAAAAATGAGGAATAGAAGACATGGTCAAGTTGGACATTTTGTGGAAAAGAATGAGAGTTTAAATAGACAGACACCTCAGTTTCGGTTAAATTATTTTTACTATCCATTTTCTTCTTGAGGTTGTGATAATTATCTTACCTTGAAGGTGCATCACTGTTTGATACCAGAGGAAACACTATGGGTGACTCATTACCCAGACATTCTCTATTTATTGCAAGGACCTGTAGCTAACTACATTCTCCAGGCAGAACACATGACATTGTCACCCTCTGAATAACTTGCACATATATTATGGGAGAATGCACAGCTTCATTAATGCAGCATTTGCATAAAGTAGGGATGTACTTATAGCGCAGATGTGACGGTTGTGGAAAAGCTCAAATTTTATTTAGTTTTTAGTCAAAGCACAAAGGGAAGCTTTCAGAGGGGCACTTACAGTAATGGCAAAACCCCAATCTTATTTGACAAAACTGCCTGTTTTACTATACTTTGAAAGATCATTTACTTAAAAAATTAAGACCTGCGGAAAAAAAAAAGTTTTTTGAAATGTCCAGATTCTTTTGCACATTTGTGGCATAAACAGATGTGTGTTAAAGTTGATATGAGGTCTCTCTCACTCACTCTCACTAACCAGCTTTTGGCCTGCTATGATGGCAGGATCAATGAAAAGAGAGAACTGAAAGAACAGATGGAGGGGTGAAGTGTGGATGTGTGAATTCCTATGCCACATATCAGATGTGAAAATATCTATCATTCGGTTGTCTATTCTGAGTATTTCTCACTTGTATAGTATGCACCAGCACACACATATATACAATGTACATGAACACGTAATACTGCATTTTTTTGGCTTTGTTTCCATCAGAGTAGCTGTCTGCCTGCTGAGATGAGTGTGAAATTTAATGTCAAGGTGTGAATAATCTCCTCCTTTTGCCTCTCACTGAATGAAGCATAAATGTGTTTTGCAATTTTGTTTCCTGCCCTGAACTAGGTCAGCTACAAAAAATTTTTTCATGTCAGCAACATAGATTATTTTTCATCTTTAATGGTGGCTGCTTCTCTGCTCGTGTGTATGCTCATGTTGTCCAGGCTTGAAGGAGAACATCACCGCATCTAAGATCCTTTTAGACATGTGGCCGAAGGTTGAATCAGATGCAGACAAGCATGCTGTCTTCTTGCTACGGTAAATGAAGTATACATCTTGTAAAATACACACCTGCAATGACTCTAAGTTTAAAAAAATAAAAGAATTTTGCACACTTACCCTGCACACCTTATCGACTCAGCAGGCATTTGTTCACATAAATGCTGTTATCTGATAGAATATGAGGACACTCCCACTACAGTCCTGTGCCAGTGCTGTGTTCATTGTATGACATGCGTGCACCACATGCCCAGAATGTGCTCCTTCTCCTGGTTGTAGCGGCTTGTTGCAGCCATGCGGGGAGCAGTTTCCACATTGTGTTCCATCTTTTCCCAGTGGTACCATCTGCTGTTTATCCTCTTCTCATTCCAATCAGCTAGCAGCGTCTGCCGAATGACCTGCTGCCTGGGGACGTACAGTATGTGCGTGTATGAGCATTGAAAGCTTGGTCAGCGTGTGGATGGAGGGTTGGGTTGGGGTTGATGGGCATTGTGAGCCTAGGAGCATGTGTTTTTCTAAACTGGCAGAAACATCACTTCCATCAAAGTCCATGCTGATGTGAAATACATCTACTTTCCTTCAGTCTTTTTTTGTTCTGGATTTCTTTCCTAATCTGCTTCATTAGAGGTATGTTTTGTCCAAGAGTTTGTGTAAACCATTTTCAGAGCATATATTTAGTCATTTGGTAGTCTTTTACTAAATATGTAGTTTTAATGCTTCATTTAAAATCCTTCTAAAAGTTCTCTCCTTTTCTGTATTTCCTGCACAGGTATATCATTGACCATTCCAAGAGGAACACTGAGCTTTATCCCTGTCAGCAGGATGAGTGGACCAGAATCACCTTTGCTGATTATACTGTCTCTCTTCAAGACACAGCCAACTCCTGGGTCTTGGTCTTTAGGTTAGAAGACATTGTAATGTAAAGGTTAGGTTTGTCAGTAAAAGAGAATCTCCAACCGGACTGACTGAAAATCTCGGGGTATGGCTGATGTCCCCTTCACACCAAATGCCATAATGTTACCTTTGAGCAATGCACAGCTCTCATTACTGCCGGTAAAGTTAATATTGGAAATTGTTTTTTGGTTTGTATGCTTAAATCAGTCTTTTAACAAATCAGAAACAATAAATCCAATTCAAAGAATAACTGTCCACCTACCGACATAGCAGCAAAGAGGCTCTTCAGTTGCCAAAAAGATACATTGATTCATTGTGCAAGAAGTTACACGGTAAAAGAATGTGAATAAAAATTGTTTCAGTCAAAAGACCACCATCAGCACAACTGAAGCTAATATTGTGAAATCTAGATATTTTAGTTAAATGTTATTTCAGCATTTCATTATTGTTTTGTTTTGTTTTTTTGTAAAGGGAAGTGTTCCTGGTCCCTAAGGAGATGATGGTGATAGCAAAGGTCTACTCCCCATTCCCCAACTGTCTACTGCACGTCATAGATAATGATACAGGAAAGGAGCTGGACCTGGTCTTCAACAAGCTGGTAGCCCATATCTATCAACCCAACAAGGTCTGTGGATGCTGTCAATCCTATACTTCAAGTTTTCATGTACATGATGTAATTCTTGGTAATTGTGGAATATCAGCATATTCCCAGTTTTAATATTGCCATGAAAACTCCCTTCACTTTAGGAATGCCTTCTGCTTGTTGTTGACTGTTTGGCCACCCTGCTGCCTAGTGTATTAATGTTTGGCAATATTTCTTACATGAAAGAAATCCTTAAAACACACATTTGGATTTAATGACTAAATATCTTTGTTATTCCAGCTTGGTTATACCTTTGTAGTAGAGGCGGTCACACCTGAATCACCTCCTGTTGGTGCCAAGTGGAGGATGCGCTTAATTGGCTCTAGAGAACCCCTTCCAGAACTGTCCCGTGAAACTCCACTCAACATGTTCTTGGTGAAGGAATTCCGGGATTACTACATTCCTAATGACAAAAACCTCATATGTCGGTGAGATAATTATAGGGTACATTCTGTAATTAATTAAAAGTTTAAGTAGAATTATAATGGTTTATACTGGTCAATTTATATGTTTTGTTGCAGAGGTTGTATCATCAAAATAAATGCTGTTCTATAGCTGTCATGTTTTCTTACATACGCTAAAGTATATGATCTAAGATGTTTGATTCTTACAAACAAGGTGTGAAAATAGGGCACAGACTTTACCGTATATAACAGGTAACATTTCAAGAAAGGTGATGAAAAAGCCCAACTTTCTAGTACAGGACAACATTAAGGATACTGAGAGACTAATGGTACCCACAATCTTTCGATTATTTTTTCCCCAGTTACTCTGTGCAGGTAATGGCAGATGTCCTAGGAACAGTTCAGTTTCAGACTTCCAAACTGGATGTATTAATCCGCCTGTCCATTCTGGACCAGGAGAAGGAGGTGGCTGGCAACACTGCCAAGGGCCATGTGATAATTCCTGTGTTCTGCTTCCTGGCCAACAAAGGTGAACAATCATTAGGTTTGGTAATGACAGTAGCTGAGGGTATCCCGTGAAGTTCAAAAGTAAGATTCAGCCCAGAACATTGCAGATAGATTTTTTTCATGCCATTCCCTGCTAAAGGTAACAGAACCCTCTGCCGCATTGTGGAACCACTTGTGGCATTAAAAGCAATCCTCTAAAAGGCAAAGTGCTAATTCAGTTATCAGTGTTTTTTGCCTTAATTTTCATTCTGTGTAAGTTAGAGACATCAGAGAGACATATTGATTGATTCTCAGTCTTGAGAGGAAATAGTATAGTACCTGTAAAAAAGATGTTGAGAGTTATGGATAATGGTTACATTCTGTAGAGTACCAGCAGTGCTATTTTTGGATAGAGAAATTGCTGTTATACACTGTAATAGATATACTGTACAGACTGGAACTGCAGAGAGAGAGTATGACATGCAACAAAGGACCCCTGGGCAAATTAAATCAAAGTTCCCTGCATGGTTCGTAAGAAAAATGTTTGTTAGTTTTGCCTCAGTTCTGTGTAAACTGAACTGGCTTTTTTTCTATAGTGGCCTGGTCAACAGTAAAATGCAGGTAGACAGCAGAGGCACTACACACAAGAGCTCTTCAAAACCTGCCTCTCAAACTCTTTAATCTGCTTTCAGTTTATGTTTCCAATAATTACACAAGGACACATTAATGACCACTCTTGTCTTTTTTTATGGATAATGGCTTAGTTTAATGTCCGTTTCTGTTATAGCCCCCAGTTGCACAGATGGGAAGAACCACAACCCGAAGGACTGCCTCACCCAGGACAAGAGAGTCAAGGTGGTAGACACTTTGCAACAAAGAGATGGGAAGGACAACACAGCTGGGAAATCAGACTTCTCATCTGACCATTACCAGCCTCCCACAGAGACTATGGTATCACTGACAACTGTCTGCGTGGTATCTGCTGTTACTCACACACTTTACCGATTTCACTTGCACATGCACACAAGCGTGCATCTCACTTTCTCACCCACTTACTTGTTGCCTGTGTTCATATCAATTTTTCACTGCCAGATACACATAATGCCTTATTTGCAGGGATGCGCACACATTCACATGAACTCACACACACCCACACATACACACATCTCACACAGGCAAAATTTGCAAGAGGAAAGCAACAGAAACTGGAGGGGTGGTTTTGTTGCTACTGTCAAACCTACAGTACCAGCGCTTGTTAGCGAGTAGTGCATTATTTATGAGTCACACCATTGTCTAAAGACCCTGTCTCTAACAGACCTGTTTTCCTTTGTTGGTTTATTGCCAAGTACATGTAGTATGTACTATTGTCATTCACACACACAAGCATACAACTGTGGAAGTCAGCTGGGTTTATTTGTTTTGCTTTAATGGGTGTTAGTAATACCAGTGATGCAATCAATCATTTTAATGTTTCCTCAGGAACTCTTTCCATCTCATGAATAAGTACAATTCACATTTACAACAGTTTAACAACAAAAACCTACGCTTTTGCAGTAGACCTCTCAAGTAGTTTGGTTTAGTAACATCCTGCAAATGTTACAAATCCTGTACTTTTTATTAACATCTCTTCCACAGAGTAACACAGCACTCAATAGTAATGACATGGATCATATCAGATCATATTGATCAGCAGGAGATTGGACTAAACAGCTATTTAAACAGGAGTAAGAATACTGATCGGGATTTAGAGGGTCTGACATATTGATGCTCAGCAGTAGTGGATAAATGGTGAAGTTTCCTATAATGTAACGGGCTTTTATTACAATTAGACACTAATATTTTTACTAAATAAGAAAGTTATAGATATACAATTATCAGTTTTGTAGCATGTGTCCTCCTCTATTAGTTTGAATCCCACCTTGGATTGTCATTTAATTCTGTCCTTTCTGTTCAGCGTGATGGATGTGGGAGTTCCCATCCCTGATATAATCTTGGCTAACAAGCCCTCTGCCTCCTCTTTGCCTTTGTGCCAATCACGTGCTTCTGTCAAAGAGAGAGAACAGCAAAACAAAAAGTGCTTTTTTTGCATAAGGTCTCTGTCTGAATCACCAGCACACTGGATTTATAGCTGTAGGTTCAAAAAAAGATGCATCTCATGTCGGATTTTACTTTATATAAGCACTAACTTGGCTTGTTTGTGTTTCACAGGGTCATAAGTATGTGGTGCAGGCAGAGGTGCTTTGTAAGAGCTGGGATTTGGACGAATCCGAGATGGCTTTTGTTTATATTCTCAGAGACTTGGAGAAGAAGGAAAAAAGAGGTACATACTTCAAACAATAATGAACGCTACATCACTTAGCCAAGAATGGACAGAGGGTCACTCTTTATTTACACTATGTTTTACTTCCTTTGAAAACATAAAAAACTATTTAATTAAGTGAAGTTACAATAATCTTGCTTTGATTATTTATTGTTCATATTTGCCCAAATATTCCTATAATGGGTGATGAAGAATTTTCATTTTTATCAGTGAATTTAAAAGATTTCAGCATCTGAGCCCAGAATTCAGAATTCTAAATGGATGTTCTTATATGCCCTCCACATTTGTCTGTGCAGTCTTTATTTTTATGCTCAGTGTGAAATATGGCAGATACTTAGTCGACAGTGTCAGGGGCCAAAGCAGATGCTGTTTGTTCTCAGTTTCCACTAGCCAGGGGCCTGTAATCACAAGCTTAATGAAAGTCAAATGAATACAGCTGCTTTTGCAGATCACAGAGTGTAATTTCTTGTGCCCACTGGTCATTGGCTAAGGCAATAATCCTGTCCTCTGCCACCAACTCTGCCTCTCTGCATTTAATCATGTTTCATAAATTGGATCTATTGAAAAATCAAGGCTTTGAAATTTACAGAAACTTCTTAAATATTTTGAGGGGATAAATTATTTTCAGCATGGGTGGGTGTTGATGTGAAGGAGGTGCTGCATGGGTGATAATTTGCATGACCGTCTGAAAACAAAGGCCAGCTTGCTGTCATTGAGTTCTCATTCTCCTGTCTCTGTTGCACCTGACAATAGTCTTCATATTTACCCATTCAGTTTGCATGGCATGAAATCTACAGATGATGTGTGTGTGTGTGTGTGTGTATGAGTGCACCTGTTATCACTCCCATTATGGCGACTGAAATCTGTTTACACACCTACACTGTAAGGAGTCAGCCTTCCTTGTGGGGACCAGATGCCTGTCCCCAGCATGTAAACTTTTGGATTTTAGGGTGACGACTTGGTTTAAGGTTAGGTGTTAGGCAAGCAGTGGTTATGGTTAACGGTATGGCAAGTCTCTAGGAGATTAATATAAGTCAGTGTAATTACATGAAATAAACAAACTAGATATCCAGAAATTAGAAGCATTTTGATGACAGACTGAGGAAGGCAAACCTTTGTATTTATTATACAGTCATGGTCATGAATAACAGTAATTATGTGTTACTGTTTATATATATTATTTTTGTCAACATATCTGATTATGTCTATGTGTGTATGTGTAAACCAATGTACATAGAAACCTCCTGTGTCTTTCCAATAAGCTTGTGAAAGTGGGTCAGTGGGAAGTCAAATGAAGTTGCCCCCTTGGTGCCCTGGGAAATATTGCAGCAGGAAAGTGAATTAATTTCACCTAGTTTAACTCTGTCTCAGTGGTGAGGCTGTGCCCTTGATCATGCTCCCTACATGCTACATATATATATACACACACGTGCAGTCCATGCTGTGCCAGTCTTTGAAACCTCTTTGACAAGCTGTAGTCAAACTACTCCACTGCATGTTTAATGCATGTACATTAACATTTGTAAATTCTGCTGTTTAGTGTGATGGATATGGGCATTAGCACCCTGTTACACAGTCAGCTGTCAACAGTAGCTGTACATGCAGTTGTACCAGACGTTTGCATTTGCTTGTCAGCCTCAGTGACGTTTTCTTTACTGTGCCAATAAAAGAGCATACTTTTTAGTATCCACATAATCGTGTCCTTAGACTTTCAGTGAGCAAAATATTTTCAATATATTTTATTTACTTTTCCTAGCTTAAAAATGTTCAGTACACTTAAATTACAACAGTACAGATTGATATTTATATCCAATTTGAACGCTGAATTTCTGTATGACTTCAGATAAAAGTAACTCAGTGAGCGTGCATAAAGCTCATCAGGCGGAATAGCAGGGTTTCACCTAAATGATGGACTATTATGCTTTATATCAAATAAGTGAGACTCATAGTTGATGCTTCATTTAAACTGGGGATTGGGTTCATTTTAGCTATAAAGTACAACAGTGCCATCTAGCACACAAGCAGCCACATAACACATGCAGTGAATGCCCACTGTCACACTCCTATTTAAAATGAGCTTTACTTACTTTACTTTAGAATGTGACAAGGAGGTGTTTTACTCTTTTACAGTCTAACTGCTTAGAAATTTGGCCAAAAGCAGAAAAAAGTCAAGTATGGTTTGCACAGTCCCAAATACCCTAAATGCCACTTTAAACTATACATAGTTTTTATATTTTGCAGTTGCTCACTTTAATGTGAAAAGTATACACTGTATGCTTGCAAAAGACATTTTTACAACTTTAAAATACTAAGGCATCCTGAGAAATTAAATGTTTGAAGTTCTTTTTTTTTTTTCTTTTCTTCACAGTAACATTAGCACACAGCTGCCTTTGTACAATGGATGATGACATGAAAAGTGAATCTACTTAATCTCTGTTTGCAAAATGTAGTATACAAGATTGAGGACTTGAAGTCTTCATCTACCACTGACAAACTGAGCCATGATGGGCCCAAGTCTGGCACACCCAAAACCAACCGCAAAGGCGAAACTGACAAGGAAAAAGGGAAGCCAGCCGCCGTCTCCAAGGCTGGCTTTGGGCAGGAAGCGGTAATACATCACAAAAGCACTGTGACACGCAATAGGAAAACACCACAGCACTGTCAGATGCAAGTTGGGACCAATGTTATACTTCACTGTTGTACTTCATACCCGTAAACTCTAGAATGAGCTGTAGAGGAACAACTGTTTGGGTTTCATTAGTTTTATTGCATTGGATGTTTGTATTCAGTTGCATCAGGCAATGATATTACAGTGCTGCATATGAAAACCATTCACCAAGTTCTAGCATGGTTAAATTCAATAGACAGTGTGCATTTAAGGCCACACACTGCACATAAGTACTGCACATACTTTTTCAGTGTATTTTCCACAATATTCTGTTAAGAGAAGGTACAATACAGTGGTATTAAAAAAATAATAATAAAAATAAAAATTTCCCCACTCGCCCCCCACTTTGGGGCAGTCTTGTATGCCTTCCCTCAAGTTTGGGTCCTCTACCAGAGGCCTGGGAGTTTGAGGGTCCTGCACAGTATGTTAGCTGTTCCTAGCACTGCACTCTTCTGGACAGAGATCTCAGATGTTGTTCCTGGGATCTGTTGGAGCCACTCTCCCAGTTTGGGGGTCACAGCCCCCAATGTCGGGAACCACTTGTGCCTTCACCTTCCACATTTTTTCTAGCTCTTCTTTCAGCCCTTGGTATTTCTCAAGCTTCTCGTGTTCCTTCTTCCTGATGTTGCTATCGCTTGGGATTGCTACATCTATCACTACGGCCTTCTTCTTCTGTTTGTCCACCACTACTATGTCTGGTTGGTTGGCCATTACCAGTTTGTCAGTCTTTGAAACCTCTTTGACAAGCTGTAGTCAAAATACTCCACTGGGCGTGTTTAATGCATGTACATTAACATTTGTAAATTCTGCCTTTTCTGTTTAGTGTGATGGATGTGGGCAGTCAGCTGGCAGCAGATCCCACAGGATCTTAGCTTGGTCATTCTCAACCACTTTTGGAGGTGTATCCCATTTTGACTTTGGGACTTCCAGCCTGTACTCGGCACAGATGTTTCTGTACACTATGCCAGCCACTTGGTTATGGCGTTCCATGTATTCCTGTCGATGTTGTACAGTTCCAAGCATTCCAGGATCCATGTGTGAGGCATTGAGTCATAGGCTTCCTTGTAGTCAATCCAGGCAGTGCACAGGTTGGTATGCCTGGTCTTGCAGTCTCGAGTGACTATCTTATCAACCAGTAGCTGGTGCTTTGCTCCTCTGGTGTTACTACCAATTTCTTTCTGGGTCCTACTCATGAATGGTTTCTGCTGCCTGCTCATCTTAGCTGCTGTGATGCCTGACAGGAGATTCCATGTTATGCAGAGGCAGGTTATTGGGCGGTAGTTGGATGGTACTGTCCCTTCTGAGGGTCCTTCAGGATCAGGACTGTCCGGCCTTCAGTTAACCACTCAGGGTGGGTTCCATCTATTAGTAGCTGGTTCCTTTGTCCCGCCAGGTGCTTGTGGAGTGAAGTTAGCTTCTTTAACCAGTAGGCATGGATCATTTTAGGGCCTGGTGCTGTCCAGCTCTTCATACTTGAGACCCTCTCTTGAATGTCTGCCATTGTGATGATTATTGGGCCTTGTCCAGGGAGGTTGCAGTGGTCTGCTCTTAGGTCCACCAGCCACTGGGCATTGTTGTTGTGTGATGCCTCCTGCTCCCATATGCTCTTCCAGAACTGTTCAGTCTCCAGCCTTGGTGGGTCTGCTCTCATGTTATTACCCTGCCACTGAGC